ACTACTACTACTACTACTACTACTACTACTACTACTACTACTACTACCTACGTACCTACTACCTACCTACCTACCTTTTGTATAGCACTTATTATGTGCCAAGCACTGTGCTAAGCACTTTATAATTATTATATCATTTGATCTTCACAACAACCCTGGGAGGTAGGGGCTATTATTATCCCTATTTTACATTTGAGGAAACTGAGGCAGAGAGGGGTTAAGTGACTTGTCTAGGGTCACACAGCTGGTAAGTGTCTGAGGCTGCATTTGAACTCAGATCTTCCTGACTCCAGGCCCAGCCCTTTATCCACTTCAGCACCGAGCTGCCCAAGTTTAGAATAATATGAATTATCTGAATATCTGAAGTCCGATACACCACAAGCTTAATGTCTCTGTATCTCAGTTTCCTCATATGTAAGATGGAGATAATAATAGCACCTCCTTCATAGGGTTGTTATGAGAATCAAATGAGTAAATATATGTGTGTGTGTATATGTGTGTATAGTTGTATGTATATATATATTTATACAACTTTGCAAACTTTAAAGTGCTAGCTATAATAATAATAATAATAATAATAGTAATAATAATTATTACCATCATTTTAACTCCTAAGTAAGGAATATTCCTTGTATGCCCAATACCTAGCACAGGGTCTTGTTGATAGTAAGCATTTAATACATTTTTGTTGAATTGAATTAAATCTTAGCTGTGTCTTTCCTCACCTATTAGACTGTAAATTTATGAGTAGGGCCTTTGCTATATCTATCTTTGTATCTCCAATATCAAATACATGGTGGATGATTAATGAATGTCTCCAAAGTTATTTATGATCTCTTAATGGCCATATATCATGGCTTTTTCCCAGTCCTCATCCTTCTTGACCTCTCTGTAGCCTTTGATACTGATGGTCACCCTCTTCTTGATACTCTCTTTTCTCTAGATTTTTGTGACGCTGATCTCTCCTGGTTCTCATCCTACCTGTCTGACCTCTCCTTCTATGTCTCATTTGCTATATCTTTATACCTGTCACACCCCTAATAGTGAGTGTCCCCCATTGCTCTCTCCTGGGCCCTCTTCTCTTCTCCCTATAGACTATTTCCCTTAGTCCCTCCTCAGTTCCTATAGTTGTAATTATCATCTCTATATAGATGAATCTCAAGTCTACTTATCCAGCTCTAAACTCTGTTTCAGACTGGAGTCTAACAGCTCCAACTTGCCTTACGGACATCTTGAACTAGATGTCCTATAGACATCATACACCTAATATGTTCAAAATTGAACTTATCTTTTTCCCTTCTCCTCTTCAGAACTTCCCTATTACTGTCAAGGGTACCACCATCCTCTCAGTCACCCAAGCTAGGAACCTAGGTGTCATCCTTGACTCCTCACTCTCTCTTACCCCAATATCTAATCAGTGGTCACATCTTGTCATTTTTACTTATATATATCCCCCTCTCTCTTCTGACTCTGTCACCACCCCCAGTACACTCATCCTGTGAAGCCTGGATTAATGGAATAGTTTGCTTGTTGATCTGCCTGCCATAAGTTTTTTCCCACTACCATCCATCCTCAGCTTAGTTGTCAAATTCATCTTCCCAAAAAACAGGTCTGGCTGTATTACCCCCTCTGTACTCAATAAACTCCATTAGCTCCAGGATAAAATGTGAAATTCTCTGTTTCACTTTCAAAGACTTTTTGACTCTAAATCAATTGCTGTTAACATTGCAGCATACCATTTTCTCTGTCAAGTTGATAATCATTAATAAGTCACCTACTATGTGCCAATCACCATGCTAAGCACTGGGGATAAAGAGAAAGGTAAAACAAGACAAAAGTCCCTTTTTTCAAGGAACTTCCAGACTAAGCAGGGAGAAAATATGTGAATGATTATGTGTAAACAAGATAAATACAGCTTTAACTGGAAATGATCTTAGAGGGAAGGCACTAGCACTGAAGGGAATCAGGAAAGGCTTACTGCAGAAAGTGAGGTTTTGGTAGGGCCTGAAGAAAAACGGAGAAGCCTGGGTATAAGATAACATATGGTCCCTGTCATCCTGGAGCTTATAACATATGGGAGGATAATAGATAGATAGCTAAATTATATAATATTACACAGGAAGTACATAAGTGGACTAAGGAGAATACTTGTTAAGTGGAGTAAATCAAGTCTATGTGCATACCCAGTGTTCACTTAGTGGATGTCAGTTGAAGATAATGTTTGTGGATAATGAAAACTAGAAAATTGTATTTGATAATATTACAGGCTTTTGCTCTCTATAGATGGTATACATTTAGTAAATGCTTTCTCATTATGACTGATAATGAATGAGCTGTAAATTGTAATCTACAAAAGTTTGAAATATTATTTCTATATAAATTACTGAATCATTCTTGCATTATTATTGATTTTGATGTGAAAATTATTGAAAAACTGAAATAATTTAGTAAATATTCCTTTAATAAAGGAAAATGTCAGAGCTATTTTGTCCACTTACAGGTGAGAATGTATGTGAGAGATGTATACATGGATTCCTTCTTTCCTTCCTTCCTTCTTGTTTTCTTTCTTTCTTTCTTTCTTTCTTTCTTTCTTTCTTTCTTTCTTT